CGGATGAGTCAACGACGGCGACGACGGAGAGCACGGAGCGGGCGAGGACGACACAGACGAGGAAAGCGAACAATCCGGCGGGTGAGTGGGACGGGAAGTAGGAACAACGCGAAGGCAGGTGAATGGGAGCGGCCATGGGCGCACAGTGCCTCGGACGGGGCTCAGCCGTGGAAGCGAGGATCAAGCCGACCAAATTAAGTTTGCTATCGTGGCCACCCTGAGAAGCGGCCAAAGCCCCCTGCTTTGATAAGAAGAGATTTCTCTCAGACCAAAGTAAAACCGAACTCACAATCTCTCACACAAATTTAACCTTTAATCATAAACATAAAAGACAATTCACCGGAAGTAAAAAAAATTCAAAATATGTCTTTTTTACCTGTTCTTAACCAAAGCCATGTTCGTTTGAACTGCTTATCAGCTATGATACAGTGTCTCTCACAACAAAATAGCGTCAGTCGACTTATCAGCCGTAGAAACCAAGCCATATTCGCTTGAACTGCTTATCAGCAAAGGTACAGTGTCCCTCACAACAAAATAGCACCTGTCGACTTATCAACCATAGAAACCATCAGTCAAATAGGCTCCAAATCACAATTACGCCTTATTTGTTGAAATCGAAGGATTAACTATGCGATTTCAATCAACCGTTGCATTGATGATAGGAATGCAAGAGGTAGCTTCGCAAGACAACTCGATGTTTTCCATGCATGGTCTGTGTGCTCTACGATCATTGCAAGTATAGTCACATTCTGAAAAGTGTTGGATGATAAGGACATTAGCAGTCAGTTGCACAAAATGTTGTCTCGGTCAAAAAAGAAGAAGAAAAATCTTCGTTTCAGTAAATATCAGCTGCCTAACTCAAATTCCTCGTGCCTACAGTAGAACCAACACGTTAGATTTTCAAGAAGCAAATATGAGCTGATTTCAAAAAGGATGTTTTTGTGTTACCTAAGAATAATAAAAAACTGGTTTACTCTCTAAACTTATTGCTTATTCATATTATATCAAAAAAGTATGAAATTAGCACCAAACCTTTACAAAAAAATATGATATATTTTTTAGTGGTCTGATTGAGTTATTTGGATTTTATTTGTTCCTATTCCTAGTATTTGTAGTCTATGGTCATGTACATTATTTCTATTTCAATTATCATTTTCGACTATTATACCATTTGGAGTACACAGGAGACCAGAAAAGACAACACCAACCTCGCAAGTCACATGCTTCACGTACCACGTTTGAGAAAAAATGTTTCACGTACCACATATAGTTTGTATCTAGGCTTTGCAACTAGTATGTCATTTGCTAGCCCTCAAAAGAGATTTGGTTAAGTCGACTTAAACATATTTGGTATTATTTTTGCATTTGGTTGATCTCTGAGTTTAATACAGAACAAAACGATAACTGTATCAATAATTAATGGACACAACTAAGAGCAATAAAACACTAGAAACAATTACAACTAGATCCAAATAACGTCAAGCATTGCGGTAATTGATAGATTGTATTTTTATAAAAAAATATCATTGGTTCCATATTTTTATTTAAAACGTATAGTAAATGAATTTTAATAAACTAAACTATCTTATTATTTCCATAAATGTAAAACCAAATTTGAAGCTAGCTATAGATGACCAACTTACAAATTAAATGTCCAAAATCACACTCGAGGAAAGGTGGGCTAGCCGAATAAGAATTTCTCCCTTTATTCGAAGCACTAGAGAACTTGATGTACTCAAACATGAACCCTGCTATAGTATAGGTGCCACTATTATAGCAACGAGTGACAGGGACTAGGGAAAGGCCTAGTCAATGTTTGGACTAACATGCTTAATGTATTTTCACCACCTGTCTCTCCATGTGAAGCCTCTTCACCAAGTCATCACTAATATGCCTTATGACCATGTGTAAGAAAAGCAATGTAAGTGATGACTCCTCCGATGAAGAAGATAACCTACTTCACTTGCTTCGTGAATAAGAGAGGCTTTTAAAAAGAAAATCTAAAGAAATTAAAGAACCCAGTCCAACTTTGTCACTCGCTCACTCTCATTAAGAATCACTGCTTAACAAATTTCATTTGGTAGACAAGGAGCATTGTGAGTTTAAATCCAAATTTGAGATCCTTAATACAAAAGAGCCTCCCTTGTGCATGAATCAGTCTACCTCAAGGTCAAATCCTATTTCTAAGGTAATGCCTCCACCTTTGGTGATCTAACCACTTGCAATAGAGTTTGAATTGAGAAAGTTCTCGAAGAAACTTGTGATGACTTTGTAGACGAGAACACCAAGCTAATGTAGGAGGTGGAGAGGCTCAAGAAGGGCAAGCACACCATGAATGATGCCTAACTCAATGTGGACCATCCGAGTTAAATAACCTAAACCGAGTGCCATCCACTTGACCAACCGCTTGTTTGTTTTGGACTCGTCATGGATACCTAGAGCCCATGTAATCGACAATACTAGTTGGCATACATACATGTTTTCAGGTGGAGGCCTTAGCTATTGCGCTATATAGAGGTAGTTTAGAGATGGAAATCATGAACAATAATCTTATTAGGGTGGAGTAATGTTGAGTTCAAGCAAACACTAGCATGGAGAAGCTGCCCTGTGATTTCCACAAAAACCCTCTTCAATTGCATTGTCTGACAAGGCTAGGACGTTGTTTGCAATAGCCCTATGACATGGGTGTTGTTTTAGTTGGACTCGAGCCAATCGAAGGTTGTCACTGTGATGTTTGGCATGCTATGTGTCGGTGCAGAAAGTGACCAACACGTAAATATTTGTAGTTTTACCGTATGTTGTGATCAGATGTGGCCTAGCACTCAATGACACAGGGTTTATACTAGTTCAGGCAACGTGCCCTATGTCTAGTTTGATTCGTTCGGTAACTTTATTCCTGAGCCTAGGTGCTCGAAGTTTGCTGTGGGGTTACAAACGAGAGGGAGAAAGATAGGGGGTGCAAGAGGTCTGATCGGACTCTGGTCTGAAGGGCCGAGAGTGACAGGAACTCCGCTGTGAGCTAAGTGTTCAAACGTCTATTGTTCGTTGGGATCCTTGGTCGTTCGGATCGTGTGTGTGTTGTTTGAGTTGTCAACTAATCGATTTCTTTGTTGGGGGAGAGTGCATCCCCTTTTATATATGAAGGTAACGGCCTTACAAGAGAGAGAGAGAGAGAGTACGTATGCTACTAAGTCTTGTTACCCACGTCGTCGGGTACAAGATGATGGTAGGCGTCCACAACACTGTTGTTCCCAGACGCATGTGGGAGGTTTTACCGCATTCACCATGTATGGTAAATGATGGCACCCACAACATTGTTGATGCCCAGAGACATGTGGGGGGAGCCTTACCGTGTTTGTCTGGTATGGGAGTTGATGGCGCCCACAACACTGTAGGGCAAATGTCAACGCCTGCAACACTGCTTGGGTTCTGACATGCCAGGAAGGTTGCAGGGTACCCTTCTGACATGCCCTGTTGGTACTGTCCTGTAGGTGTACAGGGTACGGTCCTCGGTATTGCGTTTTGACTTGAGTGCCCTACCTTACTTTCTCCGTCCGTTTCCTGGTCCTCACCGAGCGGGCGTCCCCGATCGATTGGTCCTGGTCGGCTCCGACTGCGCCAATCGGAGAAGAGCTATAAGTAGGGGTTCGGTGCATCTTCGGTCGGAGACGAGGGTCGGTGTTGGAAGTGGTGTTTGGCCAGGCCTTCCGGTCAGAGAGGCAGGCCCGATCGAAAGCGAGCTCTGTTGGCCACCAGGCCTTCCGATTGGAGAGGCGGGCCATAGTCGGAAGCGAGCGTTATTGGCCACCAGGCCTTCCGGTCGGAGAGGCGGGCCGGAGTCGGAAGCGAGCGATGTTCCTCCTTAGCGAGGACTTCTGGTCGGAGAGGCGGGCCGGAGTCGGAAGCGGGCGTCGTTCCTCCTCGGCCAGGCCTTCTAGTCGGGGATTGGATCGCCCTTCTGGCCTGTCGTTTAGGTATTTGGGCCGGCCCAGGAGTTTGCAACGTCATGTGCTAGGCCGAGCCTTTGCTAGGAAGCCGGTCTATGAGGGACCCCGGGTTTATGAACCCGACACTATGAGACTAATCCTAGCGACCCTTACAGTCCTCAAGAGATTACGAAATTGACAAACTTCGATCAAACTGTCAGACTGCGGAGCCTCCGCATGAGAGCGCGGAACCTCCAGGTCACAGAGCCTCCGCATAGGAGCTCGGATGCTTCGCGTGTCAGAGCACAGAAACAATCTATTGTGGAATTAAACGAATGAAACTTAGATCGAATGTGATACCAGCCTTCCTAGGGAGTGTGTTGACCTATCCAAACTAGTGGTTGCACCTAGATGGGAGTTGCATTTCAGGCTGCTTTGGTAGTTGTGTTGAGCCTTTGCCTCTTCTAGAGGGACTAGCTTTGGTTGCGTCAGCTTTGAGTTGCTCTGAGTTTGGTGAGTTCTGTTTTTCTGCTTAGCTAGTGGTGTTGAGCCCTTTATGCCTCTTCTTGAGGACTAGCTGTGTTGTGCTTGGTTGTGTCGAGTCATTGCCCATGAGTAAGCCGTTGAAGGGCTGCATGAGTCGGGCAAACTGTTTTCAAGCAATCGGATATAAGCTCTATACCGTCTTCAATATCTAGTGTGGCCAAACACATCATCCATGACTTGTTTGGAGGACTATACATACACCAAACAATCATGTTTTTTATAAATTGGACATATTACAAGATGTTTAACCAATTTCTACTCACATACATAGTTGTTACACAGTGGACGAAATTTACTCTATCTATTATTATTTATAAGTTTAAAAAGCTACACACATACTCCCTTTGTTTGGTAAAACAAGTTGTTCCAACAGGCTATCATTGTAGTACAACATTGCCAACTACTCTCGAAACATAGTTTGGTCGAATAATCTATCGCATCATTATTGAATTTTAAGCCTTTTCTCCTTCCCCGGGTAAATATAGAATATTTGATAAAATTATTCTTATTTCTATTTATACCATGCGCCTAATTTCTTGATAGGGTTTCTAAAACCACATTTCTGATTTTTGGAAGAAGCTGGATGTGGAAGCCATCTGGAAATTGCAGCCCTGGATAGAATACCATTGTCCCACCGCTGACGGCTTTCCACCTATTCACGAGAACACAATATTGATTTTGTCATACAGTTGATAAGTACTTTTGCATTGTGATGAAAATTTTATATAGCTCTATCTCTCTCTCTCTCTATAAGAGAGTGCTTTTTTACCTGTAATTTATGACCAAGTAATGGAGGAACATAGCCATTTGCATCTTGGAAAAATCGGCACCAGCACATAGACGCAAACCACCCCCAAAGGCCATAAAGTCCTTAGAGGCACCGACTGGTTCAGGAATATCCTATACATAATGCACACATGTGTGATCTTTGGGCCAGGATTTATTTGTTGATTTGATTTGAGTTTATTTCACATATATACCTTCCATCTCCATGGATTGAACACTGAGGGGTCCTCGTAAACCTTCATATTCAAGTGCGATGCTAGTGGACAGATCATGATCTTTGATCCTTTTGGAATTGTGTACCGTGAGTGCATAATATGATAGCATCTTAATTAATAATCTATGGATTAGAACATTGATTTTATATTTTTCTTAAATATGTAGTAGGAAATGTAGATAGAAGATTTTTTTATTGGACATGGTGGGGTGGTGTGTGTGTGGGGGGGGGGGGGATATGCATACCATTTATGTGCACATCCTGATCTGCTTTCCTGAACATGACCAGAGCAATGTTTGCCAGCCTTAGAGATTCATGTATAACCTATATGATATAGAAAGCATATTAGTCCAAGACAACCATTTGAATTCTGCCATGGACAAGATATATTTATGTGTGTTTCAAATTGATTTTCTTTTTGACAATTATGTCAGTACATACATGAGATGTGAATTTCATAGACTTGTACTCGTCCCAAGTGATATCAGAGTCTGGATCCACCCTTCTTTCTAGGATTTTTTCATGCTCCTCCTGAAAACATCACACATCCAAATACGAATTCGATGTAAACGTTGGTATGTTCTGATGATACATATTTTCCATGAGAACTGGACACAATCAAATAATTGTGGGAACAAATTAAATAACTTAATCTACTTACTGTTAGTTCTTGCAAAGCTTTGGGGTTGTCCGTCAAATACTTGAGTATGACGGTCAATACCATCGACGTCGTCTCATGGCTTGCAAAGAGCATCGTCAACAGTAAGTCCAACGCGGTGCTCTCGTCCATTATAGGGTTTGGCTTATTCAGTTCATCGATCACAAGATCGAAGAAATCCACGGTCTCGCGCTCCGCTGCGTTCCTACGCTCACTGAGCTGCTGCTTCAGCATCTTCATAACGTTCTTACGCCCCTGCAGGGATGATGATCGTAACCCCGAGTCTACCAGATTAATGGCAGGATACTTGTAATTATTTCTAAGGTTGTCTGACACATGCATCTTGTGGGGATGATTAGCGTACGTGTACCTCTGCATGCATTTGTAGAAGGTTGTGCCAGGAATGGGAACTGGAAATGAGAGTAGCCCCGAAGTCCAGTCGTGGAAACATTCCCACAACCTTCCTCCTGATGCTGCATCATCATGGCTGATCAGCTTCTTTGCAGTGACGCCAAATATCATCTACAGAGTGCAGACTCATAAGCATATATATAAACACGGCACATGCACTTCAATTTGCTCCCACAGTTATATTGCGAGAGACCTCTATCGGCTCTGTTGTTATTAATATGGCGAAGAGGAAGCTAGCTAATAAAGAACTAACCCTGGAGATGGCCGTCCTGACCTCGACGTCCGGCCTGCCGAGCCAAGAGCGCAGCTCGTCACGCGCGCTCCGCTGCACGTCACGCAGCAGCACGGAGCGGATGCTCTGGTGGCCGAAGAGGCGGAGCACAAGGGTCCTCATGTGGCGGTGGAGCACGCCGATCTTAGAGGTGATGTTGCCGGCACCGAAGACGCGCATGAAGGAGGGCGGGTACCAAATCTGGAAGCCGCGCTCCTCCTGCTTCAGGATATGAGCGTTCAGCTCTGCGTCCAGCGACACGATGAGGTCCTCCCCGACTAGGCTCGTCCGGAAGATGGGACCATACCTGCAAAACTCCAAGTCCAAGCATGAACAGCCATTAGTAGCATGCAGTTTCTTTAATTACATCCACGTACGTACGTGATTAGTTAAATCGCTCAGGATCATGCATCTAGCTAGTGGGGTTGCAAGGAGGTCATCGTCGATCGAAGATAAATATATAGTCCATCTTTTCCAAAATGTAAATGCAAGAATGTTTTGGTTTTATCCTAAGTCATACTCACATGACTCTAAGTTTGACTAAGTTTATGAAAGATGTACTAGTTCTGAACATGTGACCCCTTTTACCAAAATAAAGGATTTATTGCGTTATAAAAGCAATCTCTCCCAAAATATAGCAACCGACTAATAATTGATAAATGGGCAAGTGTTATTTGTGTTGGTGTAATTGATCAAGATGCATCGTAGTTACTCTCTGTTCTGAAATATAAGGAATTGAAGTGATTTTCAGACAAAATAAGAAGCCTACCAAAATACGCATTACTCCACACTAATTAGGATAGAGTGAGTAGTTCGATTATTGCTTTCCTAGTTAAAAAGGAATCTTTACATGTTATATTATTTCCTGCCAGGAATATAAGAGGAAAGTGTGGTGCAAATAGAAGGAAAAAGTATTTGGTTTATAAAGACAGAGGAGAGAGAGAGAAGATAAAGACTAAAATACTTTATATTTTAGTACAAATTTTGAACCCTCAATTTCTTATATTTTAGGACGGACGGTGTTCTAGTCCTGTTGAACAGCCTATTCTGAATGGAACCATGAAAGCTACCTAGTATATAGACTAAAAAGGAAGCTATTGTGATAGCTCATAGTAGTATATACCTCTCCAACCGTTCCTCAAAGAAGGGTGGCAATAGCTCAAGAGTTGAGGACGCTGCCAAGTAGTGGAGCGTCTCCCCGAGGAACGGCAGGCCCCTCGACCCCGGCGGCAGCCTCGCATCTTGGCTCGGTCGCCCGCCGTTCCTCCATCTCAAGACCAAGATAGCTCCCACTCCCAGAGCCAAGGTCACGGATACAGCAGCCAAGTAAAGCATCGACGACATTGCTCTACTAAAAATGTAAGGGGACTCAGCTACCTCTCAGCTTTTATTTTGCTTTTTATGTATGCGCGCGGCGATGCCTATATATAGATAGATGTAGCAGCTAGCTATCAGGTAGCTTGCAGGAGGAACTAACTCGTGTACATTGTTACGTCACTGCAACCGATCATGATGGAGCACTAATCATGATCAGAAGCATATTATATTCACGTGCAGTACAGGGATGGACCATCAGAAACCCTGTTTTCAGACCCCGAATGTCCATCGAGTTCACACTGAAAATCTGCAGCCGAGAGGACAAATGGAGAATAGGATGGGCAACCCGGCCAATTAGCAGCTTGATTGATCAGGTGAGAGATAGGAGCACAGAGTCAGCAGTGGTACTGGTTCGTTTCCTTCTCCAGGCAGCCAACCACGTATGTACCCCTCTCCAAAAGTCGTTCTCTTTCTCTCTGTGGTCTCTGCTCTAAGTTAACAATCAGTCAATCCTATCCGATTGATTGCTTCCACAAAAATTCTCAATCACCGTGGAAAATAATTTTTTCTTGCTCTAATAATAATAATTTCCGTCCAACCAATCCAGCTTTGAGGGCTTTGGTAATTTCGGTCTTCAACTGTGCCACCTCTCTTATATGCACTGGATCATCTACTGGTTCATTCTTCTTTTTACTGTATCATTCGGTGCGCACTGTCTTCCTGGCAAACTTATTGGATTCCACCATTATGATCCAGCACTTCTTGGCCAACTTACTAGATTCCACAAGTTTCACAAGTTTCGGTAAATCTATCCTTTCAGTAGGATTAAATCCAAAAACTGTCAAGAAGAACCTATTCGTAAAAAGAAATCATGGAATTCCACTGCGTAATCAACGTGGGAAGACTCCAGAAGGCGAATCACCAAAGCGGGACGCGTGTCTCTGACATGTGGGGCCGCCCAGCCCCACCTGGAGGCCGCCCAGCCCTTGTGGGTCCTATCTGTCAGCCTCGTTGTTATGTCAGCTCTCCACAGCCTTAAGGATTGCATCTCCGCCATTCTTTAAATCGGTTTGATCCAAGGGATCACATTGGACGCTCCGGTCTATATATACCAGACCCTGCCACCCCCAGGAGGAGGAATAGGCATTTTGTAACACCCTAAAAATTGCATAATTTTGAAATAGGAGAATTTGATTTATTATGCATTTTGTGAGCATTTAAACTTAGAAAAATAAAAATTTTATTAAAATTAAAATCAAATATAAGGTCTACATGCATGTTTGTGCATTTATGTCGATGCATATTTATTTTGTGATGCTTAGGTTTGATTGAAATTTGCAAAAGAATTTAAATTTGAGTTTAAATTAGATTTGAAAATGTGTTAAGAAAAATAGAAAAGGAATTTTATCCTTTCTTTTCCCTTCTCGGCTTTTGGCCCGAGCAACCCAGCTCCCGCTCCCGCCGCAGCCTAGCTCGGCCTTACTCCATCCCCGCGCGGCCCATCCCGCAGGCCGGCCCAGCAGCAGCCGCGCTCGCGCCACTCCCGTCTCCCCCACGTGTGTCGCTGACAGCCCGGCCCCACGCGTCAGCGGCGCCTTCTTCCTCCCCAAGATGAGTCCACACCGGACTCTACCGCCGCCCGACTACGCCGCCGCCACGCCTCGGTTCTTGGCGTGTGCTCCAAGTATTTCCCCACCATAAATACTGACCGCACTGTGCCGCCCCCTATTCTGTTCTAGAACAGCAGCCGCCTTTGCTCAAGCCGCGCCGCCGCAAAACCCTAGCGCCGCCATCGAGCCATCTGCCTCGCTGAGTGCCGCGCTGTCTTCGTTCACTCTGCACCACGGTAAACCGCCTTGGTGAGTTTGCTCTCCCTTCCTCTTTCTCCCGATGCCCTCGGTTTGCTTCCCCGTGGTCCGTAGGCCATGTTCTAAGTGCGCCGCTCATCATCGGCCATGGCACCGCTGCCAGTTCGCCACCGGCCGCCTTTCCTCTCTCCCATCTATTCTGAATCGTCCATCATCGATCCAACGGTTCAGATCACGTAATACCGATTCGGCCAGGAGATTTGCAAAAGAGCCCCCGCAAGATTCTATGTTTCAACCCGCGGTCCAAAGCGTATTCCTGAAATATGTTTTCTTCTTTCGAAAATGTATGGTTAGATCCAAAATTCGTTTTCATCTATTTACAGTTTTGTCACTAAGCTTGTTTTAGCCCTAAAATCTTCGTTTTAACTTCGATTTGAGCCGTTCAAGTTGCGTTAGATTCGTAATTGCATAATCTACATGTTCATACTTAGGTATATTTTTAACTTTTAAAATTTAAGGTTAGATTTAATCTATTATTTTAATAAAGAAAATCTTGTTTAATTCATAACATCTTCGTTTTAGCTCCGATTTTTTTGATCTTCACGTCTGTGTGTTTGTAGTGAGACGTAAATTTGTTTTACAAACTTTTTATCTTGATTTTATGCTGATTGGTGTACTATTCTAATCTATAGCCTTTGTTTGCTATGCATGATTGCTTTTGGATGCTTGTATGTTGCTGTGATTATCGAGTATAGACGGTGAGCAATTCGTGGGTGATCAAGAGTACTACTTTGACGAGCAGGATCAGCAGGAACACTTTGTTCAAGGCAAGTATAGCATGGGATCATCCTTGTTTCCTATCAACTTTAATACATTTAATCCATATTTGCATGTGTCACATTGATAGGGATTCCCTAGAATTGAACTTATACCTTGTCTCATATGGGATATGCGTTGGGTAGCTTTGCTAGTGCTCAACTAAATCATGATCTTGTAACTTGACTAATGGTATATGCAATAAACAATAAAATATGACTTTTTCGCAACTTGGAAACAGGAGGCTGGAGTATTTAGCTACTTTCTAAATGCTTCAGATTCCTCTCCCTAAGGACTTATCTGTAAGTGATCATCCGGGACTTACAGTACAGCTGTGAGGGTCACATGGCTCTGGCTTTAGCTTAGTATGGGGACCTTTTCTAGCTTGTTAGAGGTTACCTTTATTGGCGCAAGAATGGCTTGACGAATCGGGTATAGTGCAGCCTCTGTCCCCTTGTGTATAGGTTGCGCGTCATTGTACCATCGGGAAGGGGGGGCTCTATATCTGTTTGCCGAGTGAATCTAATGACCCTAACTTGTTAGATGAACCTTTAAAAGGCTTCATAGTGAACCTTGCCTGCTCACCTTGGAAGTGTTTTGGGAGTAATTTACCTGGGCATATGGGTATCATGACTCACAGTGAAAGTGTACAACCTTTGCAGAGTGTAAAACTGGTATATCAGCCGTGCTTGCGGTCGCAAGCGGTCTTGGAACCCTTATGGAATAGATGATCACTAAAAATTATCAGTTTATGCTATTCATTGTTCATGTTTACATTGATCATGTGTTTACTATGGGATTAAAACAACTTGTTGCTACTCTTATGTTAAAATTGTGACAATTAAAAGCTGAATACTGTTAAATCTGTGTCAAGCCTTTTGAGCCTCATGAACCCCATTTACACTTGTTGAGTACGACACGTACTTACACTTGTTTATTTTCATTATTTGGATAAAAATCCCGAATGGATAACATATGGCTATGGTAATGACGACTTTTCTAAGGATTACTAGACTTGTGGTCAACCAGTTAACGTCCCTTTGATATGGAGCATCCATGAGAGATTTTTCTTTATACTTCCGCTACATTTATGAGAAGACTCTGTCTTATTATACATGATCTAATAAACACTTGTGATGATACTATCTATAATTTGTTGGCTTATGTGTGTGACTGATCTTTGGGCGCACATAAGATTATGCATCCCATTTTATCCTTAAAATCAGGTGTGACAGATTGGTATCGGAGCTGTGTTGACTATAGGATGCAAGCCTAGTTAGTAATGGTCGTTTTAGCCTCTTTTGCTTCACCCATTTCATGCTTCCCATCTCACTCTTGTTATTTGCTAAATTTTATGCTTCTTTTGTCTCACTCTATTATAAAAATTATTGTGTCTAATCTAACTAAATCTAATTCTATAGATGCCTCGTGCCAATAAGACCGCTCGCATCAGCACCGAAGTCTACTACCCGCCTCATGGCTTGCATGAGTCCATGGAGCCATAGGAGGAGGACCCCAGGAGCAGGAAATTGACTCGCCAGCACCTGCACCTACGCCTGAGCCACTCTAGGAAGAACACAAATAAGTGGAGGTCGTTGTATTGTGTGATGATGATAAGGAGGAGGACACCATTCAAGAAGATCAGCCTACCCCTGCCATAGGATGGACTACAAAGATCTGGTACAAGCCGGGGTGTGAATCCTCTGTTTTGCAAAACCGACTTATGGGGATTCTTCAGACCTACTACGCTGATTGGGACGCAGCTGTGGAGTATGTCTGCGAAGAACATACGCACCCTCTGGAGGACACTTATTGGAAGACTAGTGCATGCATCTTCATCAGGGATGAAGAGAAGGAAGCATATCAGCTGGACGCAAGCTATTCGCATCATGTTCGTCGTGCCATCATGGAAGATGGCATAGAAGATGCTACCGCTGAAGCCTGCATGGGTCTCCGTGGCCGCCGTTTTGAGGATATGAAGGAGGACCAATATTGATTCCTCCCTCTCCAACACCCTAAATTGGAGTGGTCAATGATGGACCCTCAGGGCATGGATTCCACTACTCAAGTGATGGTACACTTTGGCTGTGAGTTAGTAGGGAAGATTTGGCGACTAGAAGATCAGTTGAAGGCACAGCAGGAGACTCTTAAGAGGTACCAACGAGTGATAGATGATCAAAGGGAGTGCCTCAGCCAGCCAAAGATTTATGAGAAGCCTCCCTATAAACATTGCCCATAGGTGTTGGAGTTCCTTTCTATGTAATAAGACGTTAGTAGCACGGGTAAGTTGAGTTAGGTCGAGTCTAATAGTGTGGTGTGAACTTTGGTGTGCCTAATTGATTTATTATTATGTTTATGTGTGAGTTAGATTTTTATAATGAGTTCTGAAACTTTGTGGGCATG